GCGCCGCCACGCCCCCGCCTTTGTGACGTAGGATACTGCCTGCCACGCGTCGGAACTCGGCGGCCGGCGGCGCGGTTGACACGTGGGAGGGAACGCGGGGTCGTCTCGGGCCGACTCGGCAATCATGCGTGTCTTACTCAGATTAACCGTTCTCTTTTACATCGGGGGCATGTTTACTGCTCAGGGACAGAAAGAAGAGCGCACGGAGGAAGTGAAAATAGAAGTTTTGCATCGTCCAGAAAACTGTTCTAAGACAAGCAAGAAGGGAGACCTGTTAAATGCGCATTACGACGGCTACTTGGCTAAAGATGGCTCGAAATTCTACTGCAGGTAGGAACTGCGGCGGGCGGCCCTCCTTGCAGTTGACGCGAGGCGTCGAGCCTCCGTCCCGCAAGCAGAAGCTTAATTAACTGGCTGGGTGCGTGGGTGCTTCGTTCCTTCGTTCTTGTTTTTTAACAGTAAGAGTTGAGCCTTTTATTCTCAGGGGTAATCAGATTAGGTGTAGAAGTTCCCTATTAAGCTGAATATTATTTTCTAAATCATTAAAAATGTTGGCCCAAGAAATTATTAAAAATACACTATGTCCACCGGTTCTACCCTTGGGACATCTGTAAGGATGTTCACACTTTTCGTTTGCCCTGGTTGGAGTCTCTACAGAGAGTTAGATAGTGTAGTTTAAGGGATTTTATCTGACTTCAAAACATCATATTTACAGAGTAGGGGGTCACAACAAGGTGACTTCTGGGCCCTGTGTCCTCCACCTGACCCCTCATCCCACGACTGCCTACTCTGATTTAATTGATGGTTTATTACTCAGAGGGAGAATGTCTTTTCTTCATCTGTGCAATTACCCTGTAAAGATAGGATTGGGGGAAAGTTAGTTCTTTTAACTTAGAGGAAAATAGATAAATTTAATGTGGGAAAAAAAGGTACAAATTTTAAATAGTACCTTTCAAAGAAATTTTTGAGGCTAAACCTGCACCATCATTTTTTAGAACAAATCCGAGGAGGTTAAATGTATTATTTGGACAAGTCATGCAGCTAGTTAGGGGCAGGCGACCTACTAAAAAAAGTTAACTGTTGAATAGTTTTTGTAAAGATGACAAAAAGAAAATGCGACCACAAGTCATACCTCATTCTGGCTATTATGAGGTAAGTTTGAGCCAAATACCCCACCAGGGGGTTCAGAATGAGTGGTGGTCTGGAAAAAGAGATGGTTAGAGAGGACTCCAATTTTAATATAACTAAATGCCCAGCTGTATTTTTTTAATCTTTACCTGAAAATATGTTAGTTGATTTTTAGAGAGAGAAGAAGGGAGAGAGAAGAAGGGAGAAACATTGATTGATTCCCTCCCATAAGAACTCTGACTGACCGGGGATCGAACCCACAACCTAGGTATGTGCCCTGACTGGAAATCAAACCCACAACTTTTTTGGTGTATGGACATGAGGCTCCAACTAACTAAGCCACCCAGCCAGGGCACCCAGCTATATTTTAAAGTTTGATTTCATTTTTCTTGAAATCATCTTACCTATGTGTTGCTTTTTATTATAGCCGGACACAAAATGAAGGCCACCCCAAATGGTTTGTTCTTGGTGTTGGGCAAGTCATAAAAGGCCTAGACATTGCTATGATGGATATGTGCCCTGGAGAGAAGCGAAAAGTGATAATACCTCCTTCATTTGCATATGGAAAGGAAGGCTATGGTAAGATATTTTAATATTTATATCTCTATGCTATATTTAAAAATAAATCATAGACTTCTGGGTATGTATCTAAAATAATTGAAAACAGGGTCTCAAAGAGGTATTTCTACACCCATGTTCATAGCAGCACTATTCACAAAAGCCAAAACGTAGACATAACACGTGTTCATTGATAGATGGAGAAACAAAGTATGGTATTTACATACAATGGAACATTATTCAGCCTTAAAAGGGAAGGAAATTCTGACACATGCTATAACATGGATGAACCTTGAGTACATTATGCTAAGTGAAATAAGCTAATCACACAAAAAATAATAATAATAATATATAATTCCACTTTAATTAGGTACCTAGAGTAGCCACATTCATTGAGACAGAAAGACAAGGGTGGTTGCCAGAGCCTGGGGAGAGGGTGTAATAGGGAATTGTTGGATATAGCGTTTCAGTTTTGCAAGATGAAATAGTTCTGGAGATTGGTTGTACAAAAAGGTGAATATACTTAGCGCTACTGAAGTGTACACTTAAAATGGTTATACTGGTAAATTTTATGTTACATGTATTTTCTCCCAATTAAAAAATTTTCATGTGAGAGGGGGGAACTCTCATATACATGATGTATCTACGTAGACTACCTGGAAAGGTACACAGTCATCCAATAACATTAAGTGGTCCTGGGAAGGAGGCCTGTGGGTCAAGGGTGAGGAGATTTCTTCTCACTCTGTCATATACTGTACTGTTCAGGTTTTTTACCATCTGCATGTATTAATTTTTCCAAAATTAAAATTTTTAAAACTACTAAAATTAAAAGGGAAGTGGAGCAAATCGAATAATTTTTAAAAGGGAGAAAATGGGCAGTCCATCAGAGGGACAGTTTCGATCTCAAATTCTCAATTAGGTCCTTGCTTCCTATTGCTGTGTGAGGATGATAAAGAATCTTTACCTCTTCATTCTATTTAGAGCCCTTGGTAACCACCACTTTGAAATATTAGGATATAATTAAAGTAATTAAAGATTAACTTTCTACAATAATATATTGTCATTAACTCCCAAATATTTTGTTGAAATGTCATACCCTCTTTGAGTAATGATTCCTTCACCTTTTCTTCCCAGCAAGAGCAAGGGATCACTGCTCCAAATTGGATTGGAGGGAAGTTAGTGATGCAAGTCAGACCCAATCAAACTTAAAACTCCTCTAGAGACAGTTACAGATAACTACAGCTTCATTTTCAATGCTTTTTACCAATCATTTGGTCCCAACAGAATAGCTCCCACTGCACCATAATTTGTATATCCTATTGTTAGTTGTAGAAGAAGCTAGGAGAGAGAAAAAATTGAAGGTTAAATTAAATTGAATGCAATACTTGTCCTAAAAATGTTGTCATAGGTTGAAGCCAATTCTAGGTGACATGATAGCAGGCAAAGTCTTTTTTATTTCATTTTCAGGGTTTCCCTTTCCTGTGTTGTTTCATCACATGTCTCCACGTTCTGCCCTCTACCAGAGCGCCCTCTCCCCTATCAGCCTAGAACACCCACATCCCTCATCAATAGCTGCTCATCTTGGGTCGCATCACCTTAAGGCAAATGACTACTTAGTTTATCCTTTTTGTAAACTAATTCATGCTTGGATGACTACACAGGCTGCCTGACCTATTAATAAGCCAAACCAATGCTGCAGAGATGTAGAAATTTGATTTGCAGTTGGTCCATATTCACTTTGAAGTATCTCCAATAAACATAAAAATAATGAATCTCACTAGTAATTCCACCAACACTTTCATTTTACACATAAGGAAACCAAGGCCCAAACAAAAGTGTGTTTTTTAGAATGTAATCAACTGCCAGTTTGCCTGCACTACAATAGCTTGGATTAGATTATTTTAAAAGTTGCAGTGTTGACCATATGTGACTGCTTAACAAAACTTCTTGATCAAATAAGCTTTTTAAAATAAGTTGTTATTAAGAGCTAACATTAGTTATAACTTTGTTTTAGGTAGTACTTGAAGAACTCTTTCTTCTGCACAGTGTCCTTGCCTCATGTCACAGAGCACCTCTGCATGTTTTGAAATGCATGTGACTTGTTAGTGCTTTAATTAACAGTATATGTGGTATGTATAGATTCTTTACATTAACTCCTATGTCTTTGATCTGCTTCTCTAAATACAAGTAATTCTATAGCAAATGCACATTTTTCTCTTCTTTATACTATAATTTTTGTAAGAAAAAATAATTGGCAATATTTTCTATGTTTACAGTAGAATTGTTCAGAAACTTCAACCTGTAATATTTTTTCTTAAGAAAGTTGAATTTGTGTTTTGAATTTGTTTTTACTTATTGTTTTGTCATAAGAAAGTCATAACTGGACAGATAGGAATGTGTTTTATAAAAGTGATCATTGAATCAATCTCTAGTTCTTTTACTCTAAAATCAGGTAATATGTGCTACTTTGGTTGGGATGGTCACATTAGTCATGTGATGCATTGGTAGATTCTTCTGTGACCTGGCCTTGGAGATAACTGATCCATCTCTCCTTTTTAATATCCATAAAGAATTTGAAAGATACATATGTTGATGTATATGTTTTATTTATGCACCCAAATAACTATACAAAATCATTTTCTAAAAGATGACTGATCTATGCTTTGAGATTTTCTTGCCTGTGCATTTCTTCTCTGCACTAGCTTTCTCCTTTATAATGATGGGTTATATTAATAAAAATTATATGACTTATATTTATTTTAATTTAATTAGGAAATAATTGTCCCCTAAGTCCTTAGAACTGACTTTGTTTAAGAACATATGGAAAAAAGCATTTAAAACACAATTTTTATAAATATAAAATAATCATAATGCTATAATGGCTATTTGTGAATAAATATTGGAACATTATCTTCATGTAAGTTTAACTGTTACATTTTACACTTTTAGCAGAAGGCAAGATTCCACCTGATGCAACATTAATTTTTGAGATTGAACTTTATGCTGTTACGAAAGGACCACGAAGCATTGAAACATTCAAACAGATAGACACAAACAATGACAGGCAACTCTCTAAAACTGAGGTAATTAAAATAGATTTCATGTGTATAATCTAATTTTTATCACAGTTTAAATCTTTATCACAGTTTAAATATATCTTTGTTACAACTATTATTTTTTTACTTCTACTTAGTGTGGGCTGATGACTTAGCTTTTAACAGAGCTGTTACAATATCTGAGCTCCAAAACAAAAATTTGTTTTTTCAATACAAAACTTATAACTGAGTCATTCTGTTCAATTTCTTCTCTCCCTACAAGAGGGTCATTAAAATACCAAACTAATCTCTAGGGGACATTTCTAGCATCCAGACTACAGGAGCAGATCTCTTTTAAGCAGCACTGTAGGAATTTCTAGCAGGGCAAATAATTCACACATCATAAGATTGTGAAGATTACATGAGATTATGAAAAAAAGCTAGCAAGAATTTGAAGTGTATAGACTGGAAAGTTAGTAAACATGACCCAGGAGTTCAACTACTTCACTTCTGCATCCCAGTTAGCCTTATATACAAATTGAGGGATTAATCAAGATCTTGGGATAATCATTTTTTCACACTTTCTCAGGATCAGGTATCATTATAAACTCAGTAGTGTGTGACCTCAATCTCCTTTACAATTTATGAGGTAGACACTATTGTCATCTCCATTTTATAGAAGGAGCAAATGACACCCAGACAGGTTAAGTAACTAGCTTAAAGTCACACAGTTCTAAGTGGCAAAACAAGATTGCACACCCAGCAATCTGGTTCCACTACTGTGCTCTTAACCATGAATCCACCAGGGCTAATGTTTGTTTCATTGAAGTCTGATGCCTTACTTAGTCCCACTGACTATTCTTTTTGCTTAAACTGAGTAGCCCAGTTGTCTCCCATCCCATTTGGAATGAGTTTAACATGTATAACTCTTTTTTTTTTTTTTTTTTTAATATATCTTTATTGATTTCAGAGAGAGGAAGGGAGAGAGAAAGATAGAAACATCAATGATAAGAAAGTCATTGATCGGCTGCCTCCTGCACATTCCCCACTGGGAATCGAGCCTGAAACCGAGGCATGTGCCCTGACCAGAATTGAACTGAGATCTCCTGGGTCGACGCTCAACTGCTAAGCCATGCCGGCCGGGCTAACATGCATAACTCTTATTACTTAAGTAATAAAAGGCAACTGGGTCATTGATTCAAGTGGTAAAAGTGAGACCCTTTTCTGTTTCTTTTTCTCTCCCTCTCCAATCTTTTCTCCACCCTAATTCCACTTCCTCCTCCAAGATATTAGTAAGGACTTTCTCCTGAAGCTCTTTGGTTGATCGGCAACAGAAGAGGGATAAGAGAGGAGGAACATCCCTTTTTCCTTAAAAGCAGCAATTCCTTATCACCCTTTTCAGAATGAACAGCAACTGCAGATGAATTCACATAGTACTCAAGAGCTCAGCCTGTGTACACAGACCATTCAGTATCACTTGTACACCGACAGGCACTTTTCTGCAGTATGAATACTCCTCAGTAGACCTTAAGGGATCTTCAATTCTTGTCTGGAAAATAAAAATAGAGAAAGTCCAAAGTAGAGACCTTCTTACCTACATTTTGCCTAGATGTTTCTCAGGTATCAGGTATTAACTGCATTAGCAGTAGATGGGTAAGAGTGATTTTCACGTGCTTGATTTTCATAACAGTTGCTATCTTTTATTGACACCTGGAAACATGACTCTAATATTCACATCAATCCTACAGTATAGATTCTATTTCCTTTCTTTTACAGATGGAAAAACTGAGGTTCAGAGAGATTAAATTATTTTTCCAAGACCACACAACCAGTACATAGCAAAGCCCGTATTTCAGACATGAACTAAAACTACTTTCCTTCATCATCAGAAATATTTAGTCAGTTATTTCTTCAGTATAAGTAAGGTGGGGGAGTAGAGGAATACAGAGTTTTTAATAAATTACAAAGTGGAAATAGTGTGGAACCCATTGCCAGCAAAATTAAAGGCATGCTCTTACCCACTGCCTTTTTGTACCTCTTCATTGCAGTGTATTAAAAAAGTACATTTTGAGAGTCAACAACATTAGTTAGGAAAATATATTTATTTAGAAACTGAGCAATATTTTAGGGCATTTAAAATTCTTTACATAAGATTTCTAAGGCTCAATTGGAAGGAAAAAATATATCTTCATCATATAGGGACAAAGTCCCATTTGAGAATAGTTGATATATCCTTCATTAAGATCCATTAATCATTCTAACTAAAGTCTACTAGCTAAGGGTTGAGTTTGGGATATGGATGGCTAAAACCTCTCAGGGTTCAATGTTAGCCTTTACAAATACTCTTGCCACTACAATGCCCAGCCTTGCTGAATGTTACCTCCAGATCACTGTGCATTGATTTCTTCAGTTATTACATATATTAGAACTTTCCAATGGAAATATGTGTGTCACATAATTTTAAATTTTTTAGAAGCCATAGCTTAAAAAAAGAAACAGGTGAAATTAATTTTAATGATATGTTTTGTTTAACTCATATATCTAAAATATTACCATTTCAGCATTAAATCAATATAAAAATAACCAACAAGATATTTTTATTGTCTTCAAAATTTGTTGTGTACTTTACCCTTGAATAGCATATCTCAGTTCAATTTAGCCACATTTCAAGTGCTTAGTAGTCATTTGTGGCTAGTAGCTGCCATATTAGGCAGTGCTTATAATGTGTCTTTGCTTAGAGAAATGTAACATTATAAAGAGAAAAGGAAATACTTCAGGATACCTTGTCTTTATTTGACACTATTAGATTGTTGTAGTTTGTAGATTTGAGGGAGAGCTATAGACGCATAGAAAAACTAAGACAATTAAATTTTATTTCAAAACCCATAGCTGGGTTTTATTGATCATGCAACATATTTATTAATTTTAGAGATTATAGAAACTCCAATTTGTATTTTATTCACTAATGGAAATCCTTGAGAGTGAATTTCCTTTGATAATGTGGTCAGTCTAAATTGCTATAAAGCATTTAGTTTCAACAAAATTCAATTCAGATATTAATCTGAGTATGTATCACTTATTATAAGCAGTCTCACATGAGTTTCTTTATGTAAACATTTCCTCAAAGTTACTAGAAATGTATTGTCATATCTTATTAATGAAATATTATTTTGGCCCTCTAGATAGATCATTACCTGAAAAAGGACTTTGAAAAAGATGAGAAGCCACGTGACAAGTCATATCAGAATGCAGTTTTAGAAGATATTTTTAAGAAGAACGACCATGATGGTGATGGCTTCATTTCGCCCAAGGAATACAATGTATATCAACATGATGAACTATAGCATTTAAAAAAAATTTTTTTTTATGTTTTTATTGATTTCGGAGAGAGGAAGGGAGAGAGAGAGATAGAAACATCAATAATGAGAGAGAGTCATTGTTCGGCTGCCTTCTGCACGTCGCCCCCCACTGGGGATCGAGGCCAAACTCAAATATGCCCTGACCAGAATTGAACTGTGACCTCCTGCTTCATAGGTTGACGCTCAGCCACTGAGCCACTCTGGCCAGGCTACTATAGCATATTTTTATTTCTCAATTTTCTTAGCTACTTAATGTACTTCATATATAAAACAAAGTCACTTCAAGTTGTATTTTCTATCTTTCCTCATGAGAACATATTTTTATCTCCTTAATACATGTAACTTTGGAATAAACATGAGGCTATTTTGCAAATTTAATTCTGTGAACATGAGTTGCAGTACCATGAAATTGTATCCCAGTGGGCAGTTTTCCCCCTTCAGGAAATAGGAGGACATCTATTTCAAAATCTACAAAACTCTTCCCAACTCTAACCCTAATAACATAGAAATATGTAAGTAACCATTTTTTAATGTTTTAAATGTTAAAATGTCCATATTTTTAATTTTTTCAATAGGGACCTAGGAATTAACATTTCATTGTTTATACATTTCATAGCATATGGGTAGTATATAAAAATTAGAGAACTGAAGTGTCCTTCTTTGGTATGCATGCAGGAAAATGCAAGTTGTCTAACACTGTCCCACAGCAAGCCTCAACACGGTCTGTACTTTTTGTTGCAAGCTTCTATGTATTTGTTCCATTGGGCAGTATTTAAAGATGTTTAATCAGATTGAAGACTTTGTGCTTACAGCAAGCATAATACAGCCTATACTGCTCTGAGTCTTGTACTCCTTCAGACATCATTATAAATGTGCCACTCCTCTTCCTTCTCGTAGGCCTTTATCATCCCTAACTTTCTGTCTTGATTTTAAATTGATGTCATAGGATTTCTTAGTTTCCAGTTCCCTTTCTCTAGTATCTCTATCCTATGTCACTTCATTTCACAATGACTTTGTTATTAATCATGAATGAACATTGCAAACTGACATGCCATTAAATTTTTGATAAATGTGTAGAATTTATTTTACACATGAGGATATGTGAAACTATCAAATGAGGATATAAGGGAGGATATACAAGTATCTCTTAGAACTATATGTTTAATGTTTTAAGCATTTTCAAAGGAGAAAAAGAAATGTGCCATGGCGATTTTGTGTCATGGTCAAATCATGACATGGTACAACTCATGGAGAATAGGAGGTAAGAGATGCTGCGAATCCAGCTGGTACCAAAGAAAGGGCACATATTTATTGTAACATGTAAAGTTTTGCCTACTGCATATGTAGGAAGGTATGGTCAGGCAGTAAATTGCTCTATTGAAAACAGGTGAGTACAAAACAAAGCTTTTTCCATTTTATGAAACTTGCTCTTTCCAAACCATTGTCCATCTTTTAACCTCTTTAAATATACTGCCAGAAATTATGTTACTTAAAAGTGTAGGGATAACACAAAACCCATCAGATTAGTGAATGTCACATATGCATAGCAGTTTGACAATTCATAAAACAAAAATTTTTACTATTTTCTCTTTCCTCCCAATATTGCATCATTCCTCTGCCCAATTTTATAACTTCTCCTCACTTGCTTAGTCATCAACTCTTCCACCCCTTTACTTTCTTCAGAAAAACCTGCTCAGTTGAAGGAAACTAAGTTGATAATATGTTTTGGTTTGGAGACTGCTCCCATTTTCCTTATACAAAAAAGTCACTAGACTCTTTTAAACTGTACACTCATATTTACATTTGAATCATATACTCTGCCTAAAATAAAGTACAATGACAGAAGATATAAATGGAAATTATCAACTAATACAAACTCTTCATAATTCTAACCTTTCCCATTGTTTTCATAGAAAGTGCTTTTAAACTTATCTTTTTAAAAATTATAGATGTTAAATGAATATGAAGAGTTATTCTAAAGCTAATCACATTTAAATAATTAAAAAATAAAATTTTAATCATTCTACATGCATATGGTATACAAGTAGTTCGTATTTACACAGTTGTGTTATGCCTTCATAGGCATATACCTAGTAATGAGTGCTTTAATTATATACTTTGAGTTCTAGAATTTGAACATATTATTTTTGCAATTATTTTAATAAAGATATAGTAAATAATTTAGGTGCCTTACAGAGTAGATGAAACAGATCTTTCAAAACTAAATATGTTAAATGTTTTAAATATTCTCAAAGGAGAAAAGAAATAAACATGCCCTAGCTGCGTTAACTTTAAAATGACAGCAGTGAGTTTTATAAAGCCAAAACTAGCGCTCATATGTACATTCCAGAACGGCACCCCATTACTACTATCAGTCACCCTGCTAATGGTGTACACTATGCCCCACACTGAGCTCAATGTGCTTTTAACTTGATACTGCAATGAAACATTTAGGATTACACTAAATTATTAACACATTTTTCTCATTTTACCAGACATAGGGCAATAGTTAAAGCACCATCAAGTCGTCTCTTGTGCTCTCTTTTCATCCTTAAATGTTAACTAAAAGCTGGTTAAAAATAAAATTGGTAATTTGAAAAACCATGTAAAACGATAGACAAAATCCCCAAAATACTTCTAACATGACTGGCAGATTTTATGGAGGAACATCTACATTCTTAATTTTATATTTAAGCCTTTTTTTTCATATAAAAATATTAACCTTCATACAACTTATGAGGAGACACTATGATCACCTCCACTTTATAGATGGGGAAAATGTCACCCAGACAGGTTAATTTCTCTTTCCTCTCTTTAATTTGCCACAATTCATCAAAATGAACCTAGTTAATTTTGGAAAGGTGTGTGGCACAATTGCACCTTAAACACCAGCAAAGAAATTCATTTTTCATTTTATTTCATTCTCTTGTGCCAAATATCAAAACAAGGAACTGCATGAAGTCTCACGTACTTTTGCCCATCGACAGAGCACTGAAAGCACCCATAAACCGTCTCCCTTTTTAAGTTCCCCATTCCACAGAGTATGCAAGGGCCTTTTGGAATGTTGTGATTCAGTAAGTTAACTCGGATGTGAGTCCCTTCTTTAAGTGAAATATCAGTCATGCTGAAACGTTTGTCATAGTAGTCAGTGAAAAGGTCATCTAAGTAAAGCTGTGAGCGAGAAATGGCATCCATCACTCTTCTATCTAAAAGGACAAAAACAGAGAAATGTGTCAGAACTCAAATAGAAAACCATATAACCAAACTGCACTTATAATCGCATGAATCTTAGCAATCAGTCATGAAATGATTTGGCTTTTAAATTTAAATTTTTAATAGACAGGATTACTAATAGACAGCCTCAAGTGTTAGCCCCAGAAGAAAACAAATACATGTGAAATACTCTTCAATGGACATACTTCTTTCAAATAGTATATTCCTCAGCCTGTAGAGCACTGCAAATGTTGCTGTTTCTTCCCTTTCAAATCCTCCTTTTGACACTGAAGTGACACAAAGGTCTATAAAAGAAAAAAGAAATTTAGAAGATGTTATAACTTGAACTCATATTTTGTGGTTGATGTAGTTGTGGTTGATGAATTTTGGTACATGACATTCACTGTATTTTTTTAAGTTAAATTCCACATATTTTTAGAAAAGATAACATTCACATGGTACAAAATTCAAAGAGTACAAAAAGGAGATATAGTGAAAAGTAAGTCTCTAGTCTACCCTGACCCCACCCTCAGTTTTCTACCCAGGGGTAACCACTGTTTCTTGCGTATAATTCCAGAAATGCTCCACATAGCTTAAAAGCATAAAAGAATATGTATGTATGTATTTATATAAAATTCTGTAGGCTCCAAAAGTTACATACTACACACATTTCTTTCAAATATCTCTTAGGGATTATTTGATCTCAGGATGTATAGTGTTCCCTCATTCTTAGTATTCCTTTGTGTGGATGCACCATTATTTAACTAATTGTTGATAACAGATCTAAGGTTATTTCCAATCTTCCACTATTATGAGCTAAATATCCGTATTCCCATATCATTTCACGCATGTAAGTACATCTGTAGGTTAAATTCCAAAAAAGTGTAAGTAAGGCTAAAGTATATGCACATTTTAAATTTTGATAAATATACCAGTTCTACTAGTTCATACTCCTCTCAATATAATGGTAAAAGCCTACACCCAAAGTGTCCCAAACGGAATTTAATTTGCATGCTTTGTTTCTGACCTCTCTATTCCCTCCTCCCATAGAACTGCAGAAACAAACATAAACAGGTCTAAAAATGTTTGGAAATTGCCAGGGCTAGAGGTCTCACTTGCCTGGTCCCCTGGCCTACACCTAGACTTGAGCTGGCTGGCCTCCTAACCTTAATGATCTGGGAAGTGTAGAGACCTAAAGTGAGCTACACTGACGTGTTACACAGGGTCACAATTTGGGGGGCAGCATTTGTACCTCTAAAGTTATTTTTAGGGAGACTTGGGGAGGGGCTGGATCTAGGATAGGTAAAGTGAAAGAAAAGCTGTCTTTGGGTGCCCTGACATCTTCAGGCATCTTCTGTCTACTTACTCCTCTCTCTGCCATCATTAAAAACTACTTATTGGGTCATGTATTATCTCCCCACGTAAGTCAAGGAGTACTTTTGTCAGTGGGCTGCATTTTAGCTGTTACCTATCATTGTAAGTGGGGAGGTGGGAGTCTATAGCCTTTACCAAGACGCAGGAAAGAAGAACAGGGTTAGTAGGAACTGGAGGGTATTTCCCAACTGCTTTACCCAAGCATAAGACTGACAGTGCTGACAGCATCATTCTGCTATAATTGAGAGAGAGAGTTTCCTGTTAAATTCTTAGAAACATAATTCATACACGTCACTCACCAAAGACACCATCCAAGTAAATGAAGAGTTCGAAAACACTGTAAGCTATGGTTGTGTGTGCTGGGAAAACAATAGCTTTGTCCCTTCCCCTGGGATTCTGTTCATCCATAAAATGAAACTGTATTTGAAAAATAAAATAATATTAAGGAGCATAGCCGGTAAGGATAGCTTTTTGGAGGAAAAAAAATTTTCCTGCAATCCTACCAAAAACAAACAAAAAGCACTTCTCCAAGTAAAGAATTATCCTACTGGAAGTAAACTCTCTAGCAGAGGTCCAAATGATCTATATTAGGAGATAGCACTCACCACTGTCACTGACTTTGGTACTGGAGCCAGTGATTAGTGCTACCACAACAGTTAAGCCCCTGGCATAGAAGCCTTTTTCTTTCAACTGTAAACCAACTGTGCATAAGTGCTACAGCTTTTTTTAGCCTACCCTGTCTACTATTCCAAAGCCCCAGAGCTGTCAGCAGCTCCGCAAAACAATCACCCACAATTAAGTAAATGTTTCAGTTCTCTCCCAAATGACCCAATGTTAAACAATTTGGTGAGCAGATAACTGTAGCCTTTATTTTCAGACTTGAAAAGATTATCATTGAAGCCTATCTTTCTAACAATTAGTTTTTATAAAACCAATCAAGTCATTATTATGTGTCATTATTATGTGAATGACAAGGACAAATATCATAATTGAGCTAATAATTAAATTACTTTCAAGATTTTTTTTAAAGGATTTAACATTGAATGAAGCATGTTTAGTCATTGACAATATTTTAGAGAAATTAATATGAAAATATAAATTCAACTTTTAAAATTCAAATATAAACTACATCACTTAAAAATAAAATCAAAGAATTCAACAAAAGTATCTAATTTTTATTTTTAAAACAGCATTTACATAGCAATAGGAGGGACTCCAGTATACACATTCTTTCACAAGGATTCGTGTTTTGTTTGCATTATATTACACGTGTTTAGAATCCAAATTTTCTTGAATTTTTTTCACATTCAGATACAAAGCCATTACTCTATGAAATCCTATATATCATTGCAGCTGTTTAATCTCAACATTTAACAAAATACACAAGTCTCATTAGAAATTGAGAACTTTTTTAAAAATTCCCATTGCAGCTTTTTAGTAAAAGAAGCCCAATGAGTGTGGTTTTACCCGCATGGACTCCCCCCGAATTCCGGCATGTACAGACAGTGAGCACTGTCGTGTGGTTCGAATGCTTTCCATGACGACACACAACACTGCCTTTCTGCTGCTCCTCGACTGACGTATCAAGCTGTGGTCAAAATTAATTTTTCTAAAATAAACAAGAGAGAGATTCACAAGAATCTATGGCCTCTGAATACATGTAATCCAGTAATATCATGTGTTACTCATTCAGTCTACCTTAACTAAAAGTAAATCAAAGTAGGCTTAATACAAATCAGAAAGCATGCTCAAAAGAAATTTAATAATCTGCCTCTCTTTTCTATTTTCTTAAAATGCTAATTATAGGAGTCTATTGGAGAGACTCTCTTAGCATATTTGTTGCAAACAGATTCCTGTATTCCTTTTTTAATTTAGCAAATGTTTTCAGATCCAAAGCAGTTATGTGAAACAATTAAGAATTCTGTTTAAACCAAATCATTTTGGATATCTACTCTTATCCCAAGGTTGGATATATTACTAATTTGTATTATTTCAAACAAATCAAACAAATATATTACATTAGTAAAATATAACCTGAATGTTTTAATCATTCTTTATAATGAAATCTATATAATTAAAAAATTTAATGAAAACATTGAAGTATAGTAAGGATTATCATACTGACCGTGTGGTAATTTCCTTGAGTAATGTTGAAACTTCCACTTCATGTTTAGTTACTACGCCAAATGAAGCTTTTACTGCAACAGAATCTGATCCAGTAACGTTAATCCCAACATCATTCACAATATGGTTGCCTCGCCTCCCATAGAGTGAAACATCTGATTCATCTTCATAATTCAGTAACTGATAAGATGAAATACCTTTTAAAAAAAGGAAGTTAATATTTTTCAAGCATCATGAATTCATCTAATGTAGATTACATATAGTAACACATTCATTTATTATTTCAGACTTGATTACCCAACTGTTAAGAAAGGCAATGTTTCAAACCAAGATTAAAAATAGCCATCCAATTAATTAGAAAACAAGAAGAAATAGTCAGAATACTTAAAATGAACTCAAATTCAACAGAACTTCTTAAGTATCAAGATCCACTGGATGGATAGTTGAAAGAAAATCAAGTGTTTGTAAGAAATAATTTGTTGTAATGTCCATTTATTTTCTAACCTAGTCCATAATATATTTGTTTGCCAACTGTAATATGTGAATCATAAAAAATAAATACAAATTACTTTCATTTCATTTGACCATGTGAGATAGATAAAACTAAATCCCTCCATTTTATAGATGAAATATGTCATTTTCTAAGTTGATTTGGTTAAAACAATTTATAAAATAATTGAAATAAAATTATACAACTAATCTTATAAAATAGGCTTGAAAATTATCCCATCAATAAGAGATTTGATACTATTACAAACTTGAGGCACTGTTAATCATAATAGTATTATTGCCATAGTAATAAAAGTTGCTTTTATCAATGAAAATGTGTAAATATTACAAACATAAGCAGTATATATGACCTATGTTTAGATTATCATAATATAGCTGAATGAGTAGTCACTCCCAAACAGGCATTTAAACTTACCAGCTGAAATTTCTCTGTCTCCTAGAAGAATATCTTTCAGTGTAAAAGGTGTTGAGGTGAATTTATATCTAGGAAACAGAAAGCATCGCTTCTTTTTTACCACCAGACTTAGAGGTTGGTACTTGTCAGCTTCACTGAGGCTTGGAACAGGAACTAATCTCCCTCCATCTCCAACTTGCTTGACAAAGCTCTTGGTAGCAGCAGCAAACATATTAATATAGTATCAAAATGTTCATCAACTGCAACCCTCAGGTAACAAATCCATCCTTGCAAAGAAAATCTGGCACAAAACTAAGCCTTACTTGATTTTAAATATAATTATATACTTTAAAAATACAAAGCATGGTTGCTCCAAGTAGTTTACAGCATACAGTTCACAACACTGCCTCCCCTGGTGTGCTCAGGTGATGAATTATAGATAAACTGTGTAAAATGATATACTAAAAGTAAGTCTTATTTGGAATTGCCATCTATAACACTAAAATATACACAGAAAACGAGTAATTTTAAAATACTACCAATATCCACATTGAGGGCCAAGGTTAATAGTAGTTTGCCAGTTTTGAGGGAAAGAGCCCTATGGGGAACAATGCAATTAGGCACAAACATTAGCCCTGGCCACCAGCTACAGTGTACCTTCACAAGTCCATCATGCCAACTTTGGCAACAGTAAAGTGTTGTTTTGAATCCTTACAGTATACAGTTTATTGTTTGAATTTCATTCATTTTCCTTGTAATTACAACACCAAGTGATTAACATAAAAATAATCACAGACTATAAGGAAACGGTTGTATGCAGATCTTTATAAAATACTAAATGAAAACCACATTACATGTAAATAACTGTATAAACTCTGACATGTGGGTTTCTTACTCAGAAGCTGGCCCATAGACATCTCTTTGTAAGGGGATCCTGCTGCCTTTATTTTCTTTTTGTTTCCTCATTCTCACCCTAGTAACTCAGCCTGTAAAGAGCTACATAAGGATTTGGCTTGTTTTAAAGGAATTTTGTGGCTAAAAATACACTTCAGAAACAAACCTGAGTGCTGAAATATTGTATTGCCATAGATATGTGGATGAAACAGTGGCTCTGTGGACTCACAAGGTACTCATTAAAATGTAACATTAGTGGACAGTAATCGATACACATACATATATAGAGTCGGTAGGGGGAGGAAGAAAGACTAGATTAATTCAATCCTCAAATAATATAAATCAATTTTATTAGATTCTGGACATTTTTAAAAATTTGCTTTCAACTATCCAGAACTTGAATGCAACCCCCCAAAGAACAGTTTTAAATAATGACCCTTCGTGAGAATAGTATTGTGCAAAGCAATCTTCCAGAACACGGAGAAAGCCCACGGAGCCATTTCTGCAAGTGGCTAGCAAGCCCCCAGAGAAGCAATGGGGCATCTCATGTCGCTGTCTGACCCCACCAAAGGCGGTGCATCCCAGGAAAACGCCGTCACGCCAACACCACGGGTGCAGAAACAGCGTTTCATTAGAATCTGGGCCCCGAGAAGCCTTCCTTTACGGTAACGGGCCTTGCTGCGACCCCCAGGCCCAGCACTCCTCTCGCGGCGAAACCTGAACGACAGCGAAGCCCCAAGGGGCGAGAGAGGAGGGAGGCCGCTGGGCACCCCCGCGAGCTCCTAAGGGCCGGGCGCGGTGGGCAGAGGCCGCCGCAGCCCCCGGGGCTGGTGAGCCGCGAGCCGCAGGCTTCGGGGCCAGGCCCGGGGATGCTCCCTGTGCATTCTGCATTTGGCATTTTCAAATCTTTTGCTAAAAGTGACGCAGTCCTCAACCTTTCTCCCCCTCCAAAAACCAAGAGCCCCACGGGCTGTGAGGCTTGCCTCTCGGGGCAAGCAACGGCCTCCTAAGGACACAGAACTGCAGCCTCGGAAAGGCCTGGGAACCGGGTGGAGAGGCCGGGGGCTGGACGCGGGGAGACTGCCGGAGCTGCAGCGCGGGGACNTGGGATGAGAAGGGCGGGGCCGGCCGCCTTGGGGACCCAGAGCCAGTGGGCGGGGTCTGGGATGAGAAGGGCGGGGCCGGCCGCCTTGGGGACCCAGAGCCAGTGGGCGGGGTCTGGGATGAGAAGGGCGGGGCCGGCCGCCTTGGGGACCCAGAGCCAGTGGGCGGGGTCTGGGATGAGAAGGGCGGGGCCGGCCGCCTTGGGGACCCAGAGCCAGTGGGCGGGGTCTGGGATGAGAAGGGCGGGGCCGGCCGCCTTGGGGACCCAGAGCCAGTGGGCGGGGTCTGGGATGAGAAGGGCGGGGCCGGCCGCCTTGGGGACCCAGAGCCAGTGGGCGGGGTCTGGGATGAGAAGGGCGGGGCCGGCCGCCTTGGGGACCCAGAGCCAGTGGGCGGGGTCTGGGATGAGAAGGGCGGGGCCGGCCGCCTTGGGGACCCGGAGCCAGTGGGCGGGGCCGAGCTCCGCGATGGGCCGGGATCCAGGGCAGCACGGAGGCGTGGCCGGGAACCTGGTCCCGCGCTGCCGCACCGAGGCCCCGCCTCCACCCCCGCCGGTCCTCCTCGCTAAAGGGACGCAGGAGGGGAGCCGAGGGGGCCGGGGGTCGGTGGAGGGGAGGAGAGGAGTGGGGAGAAGGCGGCGGCGGCGGCCTTGCTGCAGCGCTCCTCTCGGGGACCGGCCGACCCGGGGAGCGAGGGCGTCGTCGATCCGTGCTGCTCTTCTCGCCGCCGAGCCCGCCCTTCTCGCCATGTNCCCCGCCGCTGGAGCGCGAGGACAGCGGGACCTTCAGGTGAGCGCGCGAGCGGTCGGAGCCGCGATGAGCAGGCCGAGGCTGGAGGGCGGGGGCCGGCTCTCCAGCGGCATTGTGGGAAAGCCCCTTCCCGGCGCTCTGTCGGACCCCTGCGGGGGCCC